CCTCCACCACCTCCACCACCTCCACCACCTCCACCACCTCCACCACCTCCACGACCACTACCACCCAAATGTACCACTCCAAGTAATAAATATTTCTCTTGTGCCTTTGATACTTTTTATGTGTTTTGCCTACTTAAATATGCTTAATTTGCGTCTTCCATAACTATGTAGGCTAGAAATTGAGTCAGTCGTTCTCTTTTCTCCTAAAAAGTATCGAATGTAATAACTGCTTGAATGCCTGCCTTTCAGACACTAGGGATATGTGCAACAGCATGTTTTAGAAAATGGTGTTTATTTTGTAACAGCTACAGCATAGCTGGGATGTGCTGTTAAATGTATATCACATTATACAATTTAGGACTGATACCATTAATTGCATGTTAAAATGAAATTACTATCACTTGTTTTGATTGAGTTTCATTAGGTAAAATACCCTACATTTGGTCTCTCTTTGCTACATTCTTTTTATGCATTGTGCCTTGATTCTCATGAACATTGGATGTCATTGTATTAACCATGAGGACATTGCTATGTAAGAGCACATTTGTTGTCACATCAACACTTAATTCACAAAAACCAAGAATTCCGTTGCTGCAGCAAGCAATTATGTTTTGAAAGGGCTGGTAGGAAACTAGATGGAAAAAGAAAGTTCAAGTCTGCCAACTGGAAAAGTATTTCATATTAAGACTAAAATACAGAAAATGTTCATGATTGACCTGTGGAAGATGGATCAAAGAAGAGATGGAAGAGAAAAGCCTATAAAATAATGATGGTTAAAAAGATCAGACAGTACCCCAGAATGAAATCCATGCATTTCTTACAAGTCTTTGTTTTGAAATCATGTATGTGACATCCATTGAATCCGACATAATGTTCTTTTCTATTGACAACTTCTGGCTTCCTGATTTGAGTCTCTTCTCATTTCTCACATTATATAAAACGATATAAAACTGTCTTGAAAGTAGATCCATTTCTTGTTTTTGTTTTTAGTAGATAAATACATTGGTGGCATCTACGTAGCTGTCAAATAAATCGTGTTTTGTTTTGCATGTAAAGTGTTTCAGACTTCTAGTTTATCACATTTCAAGCCTTGCTATCTCAGATGACATATATCACTGAATTGTTATACTGTGGATCATAAAGTAATCCTGAGTGTTTGAGACACTTAGGTGTATTATTGCTTATCCCAAAACGCAAGCCACATACGTTCATATCTACACAAATACCCCTCCCCCACTGCAAAAAGGAAAAAACAAACATTTGTAGACAGGTTTCTCAATGAAAGAAAAATTCAGTTTTCTCAATGAAAGAAAAAGAACAGTTACAACACATCATTGCTTGTTTAAGTTCAGGTTGCTTTTGCATGCCATATGCAAATCATTTTTCATTTCTGTGTTTTCCTCGTTTGAGCTCATTTCTCATTCGTGTTTTTGTCTCATTTGTTTCCATCAGCAAATGCCCAGCACACCAGGGTTTGTGGGATACAATCCATACAGTCATCTCGCCTACAACAACTACAGGCTGGGAGGGAACCCGGGCACCAACAGCCGGGTCACGGTAGGAGAATCAACTATTACAGCATCCGGCAAACAACTGGAATTGGCTAGAAATGGCTTCAGAGTTAGGTCCTTTTGAATCATAAGCACAGCCATTAAATTTTAATCTGGCTTTTTGACTATTTTAAACATTTTGTTGTACAATCTTACACGGAAAAGAAAAAACGTGCGATCTGGATACGTATGTGGAACAAAAGAAAAATCCATTCTGTTTGGTGGTCAGTAGGAATAAAGTCTTGGGCACTTAATGCTTATTCTGTATGTAGACAAAGCTAGAATTTCTTTTTAAATAGCCCTTTTGACATGAAGAGTATTTAAGAGTATTTATTTAAGGTAATTGGCAATAGGCTAAAGAACTCAGTTCCTTAATATATGCTGAGCTTATAGACCTGGCTTTTCAGGGCTGGAAAGCTTTTGACTGGCCTACCAGAAGCTTCAGTTTAAACTGCTACACATAATTATTTGTCTTTTGGATTTAGTAGTTTAGCTTTTGAGATTAATTTCTCTCCAGTGAAAAAGAAAAAGATTTTTATTTCACCATTTTAGAATGAAATTAGTTTGAAGTACCATACTAGATATGTACAAGTAGAAGTACATTTCTAATCTGTAGAATAAGGTATATAATTTCTGAAACTTCAGCTGTGTCATTTAAATGATCAACCTAAGATACCAAAATTGAATGATGTACTTTCAAACTTTTTATTTTAAAATTATCTTTAATGTTATTCAATGAAGTTTAGGTTTCAAAGAAGCAAAAGAACTTGCTCATAACTGTAAAAAAAAAAAAAAGGATTTATCAAAAGCAAGTAAATCCAAAAGCCAAATACCTACAGGCATTGGAATATGTTATTGGTGAGAATGTATACAACCCAGAACGGCTGTAAACTTTTTAATACCTGGTTTCCATTTGCTGTATTCATTGGTAAGAAGTGCCTTCAATTAATGTAACTTCAAAAAAGCCCTCTCACCCTGTAGTCATGCTAGAGCAGAAAGCGTGCAACTATCCAACTATATGTCTATCTTGGTAAGCATATTGCTTAGCTTGATAGGTTTTGTTTGTCTAAATTTTTCATTGTTTCTGCATAATTTGTACTTCATAAGCATATCAAGTTTTATGTGCCATGCGTATTTCATGGTATCGCAGAAGAATTCTGACAAAGTGTGTGTATGTATGCATTTCACAATGCATATAATTTTTATGTGCATTGGTACATGTTTTTCCCCGGCCTGAATGTGTTGTTTCACAAGCATAATGGATGGCAAGGTTATCAAAATGATAAACAATGTTTTAATTTAAACAAGGAGCAGAATCTATTTTGGATCATCATGTTAATGCAGAAAATTATTCACGGATAGTAAACGGAAGAGTAATTTAATAGCTCTATACAGTCAGCTCTTGATTATCTATATTAATAGAATAGAAATGGCAGTACCTGTAATATTAGATAAATTTTTGGCTTTGTGTAAGCATTTTGTTCTGGGATGTATTTGGGGAACTTCTGTTAATAAAGTGAGATCATTCAGTGAAGACTTAACTAGGAAAAGGAACGTGCACCTTTATCTTGGGGCCTTGTCCTGGCTCAGTTGTTTTTCTCCCCACTCCTTCTTGGTGATGCTAGAACCCAGCATTTGGAGTGTGCACTAGCTTCTCAGTAGACTAGGAGGGTTGTTGGGAATGGAAAATTTGGCATTCTGCTGCTTTATGGTTTTCTTTGTATCGTTGTCCTCTTAGCACCACATTTAAGTATACTCAAACCGCTGTTCAGATTTACAACATGGAGGCCCTAAAAAATGTGGAGCTTTTTAGCCTGTGTTAACTCTGGCTCCTTTAACCTTAGAGTATATTTCAGTGACCTTCCTCCTAGGTCATTGAATCATTCTCTGAAAAAATTAGTTATGCCTACCTTTTTAATATATTTTAGTTTTGTTGTTGTTGTTAAGTGCCATTGAGTTAGTTCCAACTCACAGGAACCATATATATCACAGGACTCAATTTTTAGATCAGATTTTGACCATTATAAAGATATTTTAAGATGACCCCTATTATACACTATTATTGGTTTGGGGGAGGCTTTTTCCTCCTATTTGGTAGTATCTGCAAATCTTGCCTTAGCCAGTGATTTGAAGGGATGATTCTGTGAAGCCCTGTGAAGTAACTTTATCTAGGCTACACAGAATATTGGTTTTCTGTGACAACTCCAGCACTCTTGGATGGTTTTCAGATTCTAAACACTTTATGAATTATGTTGAAACCTTTTAGAATTTTGCAATAGCTATGAGGTGGAATTCAGTTCTTATCAGTTCTTCATCCAAGTGATCATTAGCATTCTCTTAAGTACAAGATGTGAAACCAGATTGAGACAAAATGTTAAAAAACAGCATATTTTTCTATACTTAGTGGAAATTCGTCTTGGGGAAAAACTCTTAAAAAGCTGAGAATTGGAAAGGAGACAGCAAAATGAGTAGACAAGATAAATTTCACAAAATCGGGGACTTTATTCGTAGGCGATTCCTAGGACCTTACTCTTATGTAAGCACAATTTTGACAAGCGTAATTATTTGTTTTTCTCAGCTTATGCACGTGGGAAGCAGAAAAGTGGAAAGAGGAAGAGTTGCTGTTAGAGCCAGGTTTCCTGATAGCAGTGAGATCATTAGGGAAAGAGCTAGAAAAGCAAATATGTACTCCAGAATCATAACACGGAGCCATTAGTGAAAGGGCCAGCAGTTTTTCACACCAGAAACCTGAGGATTATAGCACTTTTTTAGAAAGAGTAGGGAAATGTATATGACATTGTAGAAAGATGTCTGTCTGAGATGATAAATAAATTGGGTGTTTAATAACCTAAATGGTCAGTACCCCCAAAACAAGCTGGGATTCAATTTAGGTTGTTGTTACTATTTGGGTTTTTTGTTGTTGTTGTTGTTGTTTAAATACATTGACTGGTCAGTGTTATAAAAACATAACCTCACTGTATAGATGATTTTTATACCTTCGTTTGGGAGAAAACCGAAAAACTAAACCGTTGCTGTCAAGTCGATTCTGACTCGTAGCGACCCTAGAGGACAGATAGAACCTGCCCCACAGGGTTTCCAAGGAGTAGCTGGTGAATTCGAACTGCCAACCTTTTTTGGTTAGCAGCCGTTGCTTGCTGTAGCTCTTAACCACTGTGCCACCGGGGCTCCCTTTGGGAGAAAGGAGGGAGAAATAAGCAAATCCATTAATGTTATAAAATGCACTTCTTACAAAAATGTCAAAGAGCAAGTTTTACTATAATTTATTTTTTAAAGTATTTTAATTCATCCTTAAAGCATGAAAATATAGACATTTTAGAATTCTCTACCTCTGCTTTAAAAAAATATATTAACAATTATCTACCATCTTCAACTGTTAGACACAACTCCAAATGTACTTGTAACCCATTTCACGAAATCCTGAAGATTTATGGTGGATAGGAGTCACTGACTTTTGTGTCTCCTCTCTGAATCCATGACATAAGGTTGGCCTTGTAGGAATTTCACCTCCCTTTCCCTTTGAAAGAACTCCTGCAGGCTCTGATACTGATCTTACTGGCTGCTCATACCACCACTGTTGACAGTTTCCATCCTCCATGGCCCACTGTTGGCTAAACACAGGTTCTGTCTGCAGTGGCACCAAGATGAGATGTGGTAAGAGTACATGAGAGAATTGGAAAGAGAGGAAATGCTGCTTCAGAGGTAGAACGCTTTCTAATAACTCCATATATGAAGAAGCAGCTGTTGAGTAGCAGGGAAGAAGGGAGACCCTAGTAGGAAGAGGAAGCATTGCTTGATCACAGTGAAAGGGCACAAACAGGCTAATTCCTGAGCCCTTGGATGAAAAATAAGGTTATGATAGGGGTCCCAGCCCAGGAGGAATGTCCCTGGCATCTTGCCACAGCATAACAGAAGGTCAAGAGAACAAAGTGCTGCTTTAGTTTTCTTGTAAGGGTTTCCCAATTCCTCTCTTGATAATTAGAGTGAAGCCAGCACTACTTCTCCCTAGCCTGGCAGGAAGAATCAGTATCAGGGATCTCCCAGAAATTTGGGGAAAATAAGTGTGATTCAGCCATGATTTTTCTTATTCCAGGTCCTTGATCAAATGCAGTGCATCTGCATTAAGATGAGACTAAGACATTCAGAAGTCGATACTCTTAAATTGGAGTTTTATGAGCGCCTACCAGAAGCTATCTGGAATCAACTTGTCTGGATTTTAGCCCTTAGAAATAAACCAATCTCTCACCTTTCTGTTTCCTTCCTCTTTTTATTTCTCTCCTTCTTTTTTCTTTACCCTTTTAAAAAATACTTTTTAATGTCTCCTCCCTCTCCTTTTTTTCTGTCTCCTTTTTCCTGCACATATCCTGTTCTTTTCTTTTTTCTCATGTGTTCCCCACAATACCAACAATTTTTAACGGAATAGAGCTTTATAAGACTTAAGTCTTAATTAGGCCCCGTATCTGCCAGTTCTCTGTTCCTGGTAAGCTTATTCACTTCTACACTGTGGTTGGGACTTAGGACACAGAGAAGCATGAATGCTTCTTGATCCCCTTTATAAGAAAACCACTAGATACGGACAGAGAATTTAAAAGAAATAGAATCTCTAGTCTTGGTAAAGGGATGAGGGGTTTTGTTTGGTTTTGTTTTTCATTTTTGAGCCTGGGAGGTAGTTTTGTGTTATTGTTTATGTGAGTGTACATTGCTGGAATTGTGCAGTAAATCCAAAACCCCCTGTAGACAGCGTAGGTGTGGTAAGTGTTAAAGTAGAACAGATCCTGGTGGTGGTGGTGGTGGTGGTGTTAGGTGCCATCGAGGCGGTTCCAACTCATAGCGACCCTATATACAACAGAATGAAACACTGCCCGGTCCGTGCCACCCTCAGAATCCTTGCTATGTTTGAACCCATTGCTGTACAGATAATCAAGTGTTGACTGTATGTGTAGTAGTAAATTAAGGAAAACAAGAATGCCAGGAAATGTCCTAAATGTGATTCTTGATATATAACCATATATTTTTGATGTATAGATTATTATGTAATGTTTTATTTGTTCTTACAGGCAGGTTGTCAAAGCAGTGGCAATCAACTGCTAAGTAAATCATTTACAAATTATGCACTTACAGTCATGTTTTTTCTTTTGATGTGAACATTTCTGAATTTTCAGTGATAGTTATTTTCAGTGGAGGAAATGTAAGAATCTTGTATCCATGGACGAGTAGAAGAAAGGCGTGTTAGAGTTTTTTAAGGGACTCTCTTTACAGTTTACTGGTGAACTCCTTGCAATTGAATAATGAATGTATTTAACTCTTTTGTAGGCGTCCTCTGGTATTACGATTCCAAAACCCCCAAAGCCACCAGATAAGCCGCTGATGCCGTACATGAGGTACAGCAGAAAGGTAGGCATCTGGGACCCAGAAAGGAGTGAGGACTGGTGTCTTTGCTTCTTGGCTTTACATCAAGTTTCAGATTGCCTTAGCCAGCCTTTCTATGCATCTTCAGAGGATAAACGATAAAGAATTACAATTTTTAGAGAGATTAGTTCTAATTTTAAAATTCTGAAGCTAAAATCTAATGAGGAAAATGATTAAACTGTGATTAAAGACAGAATGTTATGTAGCCATTAAAGTAATGTCTTTTAGAGAATATTTAATGATCTAAGAAAATGTTAAGTGAAAAAAGGGATACAAGACTTCATATATTGTTATTTTATAAAAATAATAACAGTCACATGTTTGAAGAAAAAAAGAAGCCTGGCAGACAGTGGTTAACTCTGAATAGTAAAATTATGGTAATTTTTATTTCTTTATATTTCCTTCAATTTTCCCATTTTTCTAACTTAAAAAAATAGAGCCAATATTTTTAAAGACAGCATTTAGACATTTTAACCACTGGTTAGACTATCTGAAATTTTTTGGTCATAATTATTATATATATATTTGGCAGCATGATTTATTGTATTGTACAAATTAACCACTTTCCTTCTAAATTCTTGAAACTTTCAGAGACATGTAGAGAGTATATTATCAAATTAACTCATCTTAAGTGTCCACAGTGATTGGAGGTGTTCTTGACCTGCTAAATTGAAGTATATATGAATGAAGTGACATTATGTCTGAGATCTTGCTTCAGAATAATCCAGCATGGGTTTAGATGAAATAAGATTGGCCAAGTGTTAACAGTTGTTGAAGCTGGATGTTGGGTACATAGGGATTCATTATATCGCTCACTCTGCTTTTGTTTATGTTTGGAAGTTTCTGTAGTAAAAAGTATTTTTAAAGATACGTATTTTTAGTCATCAGTATTGAAATTTCAACTTTTCCCTTTTTAAGGTCTGGGACCAAGTTAAGGCTTCCAACCCTGACCTAAAGTTGTGGGAGATCGGCAAGATTATTGGTGGCATGTGGCGAGATCTCACTGATGAAGAGAAACAAGAATATTTAAACGAATACGAAGCAGAAAAGGTAGGATGGGTGCAGTGTTGGGATGGACAAGATGTAAATTGCATAAACATTGGCTTGTTATTTTTAGAAGAAACATAAGATTTGATCGGAAAGCTGAGACGACTCAGACTCTGTCTGCCTTAGTCAAGTCACTTAATTTCTCTCAGATTCTTGTGTGTAAAAAGGAGATGATTATCACATTATGCTTTCATCATATCTTTTGATATTCAGATGAAATAATACAGGTATACATTATAACCTGCAAAATGTTAATTATAAAACTGAAAAACATTTGAATTTCAGATAGAGTACAATGAATCTATGAAGGCCTATCATAATTCCCCCGCATACCTTGCTTACATAAATGCAAAAAGTCGTGCAGAAGCTGCTTTAGAGGAAGAAAGTCGACAGAGACAGTCTCGCATGGAGAAAGGAGAACCTTACATGAGCATTCAGCCTGCTGAAGATCCAGATGGTAAAAAAAAAGAAAAGTGGGATTTCGTTTATGCTTTCTGTGAAAATTAAAATACAAGAAACTTTTTATATGTTTTCGTTTCCTAGCCTAACTTGAAAACCAGAAAAAGCATAATTTAAGTGGTATTTCATTATTTTGGTTATTCTGAGTAAGATTTGTGTGTGAATTTCCTCAAGAAAGAGAAATACCCTTTTTTTAGTACAGAAAACAGCAAAAAGCATTTATTTATCAAAACGTTCACCCTCAGAATACATAAAGGATTTTTAAGTTACAGTTGGGATTTTTGCCTCTGCTGCTTTTAAAAAGCTAAACATGTTCTAACTACATCCCGTTTTCTTGTTGGGTCCCTAAATTTTCTCAATTAAAAACTCTTCAGGGAGAACGTTAATGAGTAGGTAGAAGCATTATGAAATTTCCTTTTCAGTTAATTCAGAAATCAACTAAAATTTGTAAATGTAGCTCATAACCGCTCATGAGGCCACACACTTACAAATTACATATATATATATATATATATAACAAAATACACATACCAACAGCAGAGTTCCCTAATGGGCATTCCATGAACAGTTTGCAGACGTGCAGATTGCTCCCCTGGTCCTCTGCAGTCAGGCAAGGGTCTGGAGTTGCAAGGAGCCCTGGGCCAGTCTCCTCCACTGTGAGCATATGAGCATGTTCGTCCACTTATACAATATTAATATTTTATCTGTATGCTGCTGTGGTATAGAAAAGGCTGGAAGCTCTAGCTGCAAGCAACAAAAATACCAGTAATTTAAGATCTCATTTTAAAGTGGCAGTAACAAAGAAGAAGCTTATAGGAGCTTTAAAGAGGAAGTAATAATACCTAAAGACATGAATAAACTGATATACTTAAAAACAAGGAAAAACACAAATTTTTTTTTTTTTTAAGAATGGACTGGGATATAGATACAGAAAGACTGTAATAATAAATATAGAATATGGAATAGAAACAATACTAAGTGTTAAGCAGGATCGGCAGTATTAAAGATACTAGCATAAGCAAACCTAAATTACAGCTAATTATGTATATGAGATGCTTAATATAAGGGAAACATGCAGAACTTAAAAATAGAAGAAGATCTGCAAATAATCAGGACGATAGGGGTCAGTGTCAGTGCAAGAAGAAACAAAGGCTAGCAACGTAGAAGCCATTAGGAAAAAGTAGTTGTCATAAAGTGAAAGATAACAGTGTGAACACTGGCAAGAGCTGAAGAGACTCACTTAGGAATAATCCTCAAAAGAGTATGCCTCTTCTCTATCTCAGGTTTCTGTCTGTTACGTTTTTAAGTTTCAGATAGGATCTTAAAGTTGCTATTAAGAAAGGGCAGGTAATAATGAAGATGCCAAGATAAGAATGACTTTAGACCTTGGGCTTTATCTTCAGAACTGAATAGAAAGAGGAAAACTTGGGAGGTGGAACGTGTACATAAAACCAAGAAAAAGGCAGCATCTCCACAAATATAACAGCTGCTAACTTCTGTTAAAAGATTTATAAGACATACATAGTCATCCACCCCAGACAGTGAAAGCTTTTTTTTTTTTTAATGACATTTTGGAAAGATTATATTCATGAGATAAACAGTTGGTGAGTTAGTAACTATAAAATATAAGGGGGGAAAAATATTTCAAACAACTAAAGTCCAAGAAAGGACAAGCCCATGTTGCTGAGGCTTTTTATTTCTCCTACCAGTAGTTAACACTGGGGCCATATAAATGAAAGAAGAAAGCAAAGAATAACAACAAGAAAAGATATGAGATGGAGGTGGCAAAAATGTACCATATATAACCTTAAATATAAACATGAAAAACTCATAAAAAAGCCAGAGTTAAAAACTTTTTTTTCTCTCATCCCAATAGTTTTATTACGGAAGTATATATCCTAAAGAAACTACTCAAAATGAAACAAAGTTGTTTGCACAGCAGTTGTTAGCTGCCCTGTTTGTGATAATCTGAGATTCGGAAACTGCTTAAATACCAAATAATAAGGGAGCCACTGAACTGTGGCATAGCAGCACAGCGTGGGCCTCTGTTAGGGTTTGCTAACGGGTGGTTCCTTCACCTCTGGGAGTGGAGGGACACCAGGATGATTAGGTGGCACATAGAGGAACTTTTGCTTTAATGGCTATTGCTTAAAAGAAAGTTTTTTGTTTTTTTTTTTAGTCAATTTAAAGAAATTTATTAAGTAAATAATAGTACAAATTGTTATTAGATATGTCAGAACTTCTGAAGGTGATAGAGCAAAGGCTGAGATTAAGGAAACACTGTTGTGTAGCTATTAAAAATAAGCATATAGACCAGATCCACACAATCTGTATGCAAACTTTGGTGTAAGAAAACAACATAATACCATTACCTTCCGACAACTGTATACATTTTGACCAGTATGTAAATTGACAAAAAGTAAACTTGGAATCAATTTTTTTTTTTCCTATAAAATAACTTTTGGGCCTTAATAGTTTTGTAATTTGGTAGAATGTAAATGCTTATTTGGAAAACTGAATATTGCTAGAGATAATATTTTTTCTGCAGTGATAAGTTAATTTTACAAACAGACCTTTTCATTACTTTAATATTAAAGTGCTGCAGTGACAAAGGCACCCAAGTTCATATTTATTTATCATTTCTTAAATGCCGTAAATTATTGAAAACAGTGAAACGTTTGGCAAGATTGTACTTGCTGCTGTCACATACAGCCTTCGCATTCATTCCCAAACCAAAAATACATAGTTATATTTTATTTGTGTTTTAGCCAAGTCCTTTTCAGACACACATCATTGAAGATTTTTGAGAAAAACCAGTATCTTGACCAATAAACACATTGTGTTCATTGGTCAAGATGAGTTTATCGAGTGACTTGTGGATGATTTTGATGAAATGACGGCCCCAGGGCTCCTGTGATGCCCGTCAGGCCCACTTGTTAGGCCAGTGAGGGCGACTGCTCCTTGGTAATTAAGTGTTAACATTGTTACACTCTCCTGTGTATGGTAACTGGTGACCTAATTTCCAGAACATATTATTTATTCCAGATTATGATGATGGCTTTTCAATGAAGCATACAGCCACCGCCCGTTTCCAGAGAAACCACCGCCTCATCAGTGAAATCCTTAGTGAGAGTGTGGTGCCAGACGTTCGGTCAGTTGTCACAACAGCTAGAATGCAGGTCCTCAAACGACAGGTCCAGTCCTTAATGGTTCATCAGGTAAAGTCACAAAACATTCATTATAATAAAATGGGGCTATGCCACAGATCCCAGGTGACCTGATTCTGCCCCATGCATGAATGTGCATGTTAAATATTTGTGTGTTCAACCTAACCTGTTCCTGATTCAGAGAAGAGATTTAAGGGAGTGGACCTTTCCCAGAGATTTGATGAGTTTGTCGTTAAAAATCGTAATACAGAGCCTTGTATATTTGTTAAGAAATGTTCCCTTAAGAGTTTTGAGGCATCCTGTCAACCTATACAGCTTTATTAAATATTTTTTCCCCAAAGAAATTGCTCAAGCCTGAAACAGTATTCTTTAACATATACTCATTACTTACACTCACTCCTGTATCCTGCATTTTATATTTAAAAAGTTTTAGCTAGACACATTGTATACTAAATGACTTAAAAACATTGTTTGGTATCATTATATAGATAGTTACCAAATTTAAAATGTTAAGGGGAAAAAAAAGAGATTAGATAAAAATAAGAAGTTTGGTGCTGGACAAATAAATTTGACACCCTTCTCTCCCCCTCCCCCCCAAAAAAATTGTTTACGACACTATGAGAAAGTGTGAACTATTAAAAAATGAGACATACTTTTTGTGTTTGGCATTTGCTTTAGAGAAAGTAATTCAGTGATTATAAAGCCTGAACATATATTTTATATTTTACAGCGAAAGTTAGAAGCTGAACTTCTTCAAATAGAAGAGCGACACCAGGAAAAGAAGAGGAAATTCCTAGAAAGCACAGATTCATTTAACAATGAACTTAAAAGGGTATCAAAGTAATCTGTAAACTATACTTTTGTCACTGTGTTTGTTACTTTTTTTCATTCTTTCTTCCAAAATAGTGTTTTTATTGAATGTTGTTCACTTTGAAACAGAGTTAACTTTGCTATAACCAGTAAAATCTTTGCTTTATAAAATTATTCCCATTTTTTTCCAGCAAAAAATACCATTTAATATACACATGTGTATTAGGCCTATAGACTCTATAGCTTTTTGATGTTTTAATTTAAACTCCCATGCAGTCATGAATTATTCTGATTTTATTGAGATTCATTTATCAGTTGTCTTCATTAGACGTAATTCACAGTTTGCATTTAGTGTCAGAACTAGTAAGTCGAATGTTTGGTAGCCTGAAGTATAAAACAGAAGCCCTATATATATAGTCCAGTACGTTCAGTATTGCATCACCAAACTACTCTAATATTTGATGTTATTACATGGCTGCTGGGTCCATTAGCAACTTTGTCGCTTTGTCAGACTGATACTTCATAGACATAGAGCTTCAGAGAAGATCTAAAACCACATTTTTTTTTTTCCTGTATATATATAGTTGGTAGGCAAGAAAATCCACTTTTGAAACAGTTTCTCTGGTTCGAAGATTATAAGAACATTACTGAGAGGGTTTTCTTTTTTCTGACTGTTAGTTGTGCGGTTTGAAGGTGGAAGTGGACATGGAGAAAATTGCAGCTGAAATTGCACAGGCAGAGGAGCAGGCCCGCAAAAGACAGGAGGAAAGGGAGAAAGAGGCAGCAGAGCAGGCTGAACGCAGTCAGAGCAGTATTGTTCCGGAGGAAGAGCAAGCAGCTAATAAAACTGAAGAAAAGAAGGAAGACGAAAGCATTCCAATGGAGACAGGTAACCTACCAACTGACCCCAAAGTGAACGTCAGGGATTTTGCAGCTTTTTTTGACTTTTTTCTTTCTAAATGCTTTTCAGAGATCATGCTATTAACCTTGCCTCTTGAGTTATTCTCTATTATGACCTACCCAGTTTTTTCCAAATCTTAATCTCTCTGAAATAGATTCACTTAAAATGTTGTTATCAATACAAAATAGCAGTGTTGTGTTATCTTTGGTCTTGTTGTTTGAGGTCTTGGTTTTTTACCCAGATTGGTTCATGTCATTTTCTGCCTTGAGAATTTAGAAGTGTAATGGTTAAGGATACCAGCTCTGGAGTCAGGCAGATCTGGGTCTGATATTGCTTCACCATTTGCCAGCACTATGATTTTGGATAAGTTACTTGTCTCCGTTTCCACATTTACAAGTATTCTAGTACCTGCCTCCAAGAGTAATAAATTGGAAAGGGTAAATAAGAAAATGTATATAAAACATTTAACACTGGGTTTAACACAGTACTGACACTCAATATGTTAACCTTAGTTGCTAATGTTATTTAAACAAGATGTGGTCATTGCTCTTAAGGCTGATCGTCTTTGGTGTCCTAGAAGAAGGTTTGGCAAAGTAAAATTTGCAGACCAAATCCTGCCCACCACCTTTTCTTGTAAGTAAAGTTTTATTGGAACACAGCCACACCTGTTTTTGTACATACTGTCTGTGGCTGCTTTTGGGCTACAACACTATAGTTGAGTAGTTGCAACAGAAACTGTCTGACCTACAAAGCTTAAAATATTTATTATCTAGCACTTTACAGAAAAAGTTTGCCTACCTCTGTCCTATAAAAATTCTTAATTCCAGGCATACTGATTTTCCTTATTGAAAGCATCCTTCAAAGCAACAACAACAAAAAAAAAAAAACCTTACACAGAGTGCTAATTTTGAGGTCACCTTAACTTCTGGCAATATTTTGACCCTGCCCAGTGTACTGTGTAAACAGGACGAAGCTAAAAGTAATCGTGGGAAACACAAGCAGAGGCTCCCTGGACCGTAATTACAAGAAGTGGGAGAAACAGTAGTCACACTTTGTATTCAAATGACAGCCTCAGATTTGACATCTGGAAAACGTTGGATGGAATGTAGATATCTTTACCAAATATTTCTACAAAATTTAATTCAGCAGATTAACATTTCAGATAGTCAAATGTTAAGTTTCATTATCTGAGCCTCTTTCTGTTTTGTATGAACATGTTTTTTTATCTTAACAAATTTGGATCATGAACACCTTTTTGTGGTTAAAGCAAGAGTTTGAGAATTAGGGTTATGGTTCTTTGCTCATTTTGCAACTAGACAAAACAGTCCTTTGCCTCTGTTTTGTCATCTATGTACAGGGAGTGTCTTACTTTTAAGGCCTTTATGTCTTTAGTGAAAAGTGCTCAAGTTTTTATCCTTATAAGAAAAGAAAATTGTGACTATTAGAGCAAGAATCTCATGCTTTTAATTTGTTAACAGGAAAGAGCCCAGCCTGAATTTTAGCAAAGTGTCTAACATATCAGCCTTACATTATTTCTATACCTGCTTTCTTATTCTAGGACTCTGTAATAGCACTGTCCAATAGAAATAAAATGCAAGTCACAAGAATAATTTTAAATTTTCTAATAGCAACATTTATTAAAAAGTGAAACAAGTGCAATTAATTTGAAAATTTTATTTAACCCAATATATCCAAAATAATATCATTTCAACATGTAGTAAACATTTAATAAATTATTGAGATGATTTATATTCTTTTTTATACTAGATCTTCCACATTCAGTGTGTATTTTACACTTAGAGCACATCTCAATTCAGAATCTAAATTTTCTTCAGTAATAACTTGATTTATATTTCGATTTCATAAAATTAACAGTTAAAAAGTAGATTTACATACCCCAAATTGTTCCAAACATAGAAGTTCCTCGTCACGCTAGCTGAATTTCAGGTGCTCAGTACCCACATGTGGCTAGTGGCTATCTTATTGGACAGCACATCTCTAGACTGCCAGCATAATTAGAGTACATTTTTGTCTTGGAACTGACAGTGACAAATGTGTGATTACAGAGGAGACCCACCTTGAAGAAACAACAGAAAGTCAACAGAATGGTGAAGAAGGCACGTCGACTCCTGAGGATAAGGAGAGTGGGCAGGAGGGGGTTGACAGTATGGCAGAGGAAGGAACCAGTGACAGTAACACTGGCTCAGAGAGCAACAGTGCAACAGTGGAAGAGCCACCAACAGATCCCATGCCAGAAGATGAGAAAAAAGAATAAATGTTGCCTTGTTTTATGTATTCTAAATACTTTTTTTAAATGAAACAATGCTTTTTTGAGTTTTAATGGTGTTATGTGGTTTGTGTATTATTTTTTTCTTGTCCATATCACACTACCAAGGGCTTTTGGACCATTTTATCATCATGGGCCTAATGGCACAGTCACCCTTCTTCAGCGGTTGTGAAGCTGGCTCTTTTCTTAGGATCTTGTTTCTAGCCCTCAGCTGCTGAAAACCTCGGAATTTAGATTAATTGAGAAAATTCCCACCTCTTTTAGAGAATTATCCTTTGATGCTGCAGAATCTAAGAAATGCCTTCTTACAGCTCACCTGGGTGCTTACCAAAGCCATAGCTTTAAACCGTCTCAGTCCCCATCAACATTTTCCTCAAAATCCCCTCTGCAAAGTTTACTTCTGCGAAGAGTAGCTTCTTAAAAACATAGTCATGTTTGAGTATGTATTTGGTTGCTCACCTTTTTTTATTTTTAATCAAAATCTCAGATACCAAGAGTTGTGGTAAGGAATTGATGGTAGCCTTTGACAATACTTGGATCGTGTTGATCCAGAAATTACAGCTGTCTCCATAGTTTGTTACTAGTTATGAAATAATCATTAAAGTGAACATAGCACATATTATCTATACTGTTTTTATTATACTTAACATTGGGTATGTTCTGGTAAGTGTATCCTTATTGTACAGAAGAATTTAACTTTTTTACCAAGTCTTCCAAAGACATAGTAGATCACAAAGCTAAGGATTTGAATATTCTTATAGTGGAGTAAATAACTCCAAAATGATTAGCCCACTCCAGAAGAAAAACAGCTGGGAATTAAGTTCATCCACTTAAAATTGTTTTGCAATATTCAAAACCTCAAGGTTCAGGATCCCAGAGATCAGAGCTACCTTTTTGATAAACTCTGGAGACTAGAAGCAAGATGGTTTGTGACACATACGCGTCACTAGAGTAGATTTTTACTGAATAGTGGTGTATCTAATATATGTTTCTTAAAGGTCCAAGCGTAATAAAGAAAAATGAAAAAGTCTCAGTGTTTTTAATGCACTAAATATTTGTGTGCAAAACATACAATTTTGTTACTGGAATGTAAAGACAAGTATGGAGTGGCCACTCAGCTGTTAAAATTGGCATGCTCAGGGTCCTTGTCTCGCCCAACTATAACAGCTACAGTAGTAAGTTCAGTTGTACAAGTCACTTGCAAAAGTCTGTTTCCTTACATTATAGTCATTGCATATGCAGGTTGGTCTTTGACTCCAAAAGTAAAGGAAAAAATGTTCCTGCATTTACAGATAAGGAATATGAAGACATCTATGACATTTGTCTTTGAGAAAACATGGCTAAATAATAAATACAGACCTTGTACTTTCGTGGAGATAACCTCTCTATACCAGCATGTCTTAACTGATAGTTCACTGCCATTTGAGTAGTGTTCCTGAGCTCACAGCACTCCATGATTCTACTCTACCTTCAGCTTCCAAAGAGAGCAGCGGAGGAAGCTTAAAGGTGGGTAAAAACAACCCATGGCTATCTTTTTCTAAATAATGTATGAAACCTTTCTCCTGTTTTCTAGTGAGTCGAGGAACTAATTTATCAAATAGAGGTGTCAAGAATTGTAGGACTGAGTACTTAAAGCCATCTCATCTCCAACAAATTGGACAGCCTCTTTGATACATTCTCTAACACTGAAAATGGGGCAGAGAAGTTGTTAAATGATATGGGTGGAAAACCGCCAGAACAAGATGTCAGGTTATTTACTGTTACGGAAGTCTGTAAGGATGACAGTGGTTCCTTTGCTAAGCTGGAGATGGCACTGAGAACATCTAGCAAGCCTGCCTATGCAATGCTAGGCAATTTGCTTAAGAGTGGAAATTAAGTCAGATGGGATTTGACACCTTTTAACCTCAAGGGGGACAGATAGAATTAAAATTGCCGTTTGTCAGAGTGGTGTATGTAGACACCACCACCGTTTGGGATGTTTCTGAAGTTTCTTTGAGAATACGGAATGTAGTAGAGGTCTTTTTATTTTTTTCATATCCCCAGAGGCATTGGGTAGGTCACATACTCGCTGAGCCTGTTTAAACTGTAGATGGAACTACTTTATATCAGTGACTTTCCTGTTCCAGATAACTATGATTTTTAGTGCATTTATTTTGAGTATGAATACATAAGGTCTGAGGGCTTAAATTTTATTTTTAATAAGTGGGAAAGAAGAGAGTTCCCTATAGTCCCCTGATTTTCTCACAGGAATTTCAAATTTTATATGTACTTTCCCAGACTGTCAACAGCACGTGTTTTTTAAGTGGCTCTGCTACAATAAGTGATAAATACATATTCTGGAAAGCAGAACTATTGAGAGAAGTAAACAGGAGCTATCTCATTTTAACATGATATTATGAATGTTTTGTGGAAAAGATAGAATACTTTGACTATATTTGAAAAGAGAATCCGAGGTAATGTTAATCTACTCTTGAAGTTTAACTAAATCCCTCCAATTTTTTGGTTTTGATCCTTCACATTTAGATACTAGTCTTGGGTTTTAGACGGTGCTGACAGTGTGAAACTCTCATTGCCTACAGTTAAAGCTTTGGTTTCCCATGTGAACAGGCAATGAAGCTGGGATTATACTTTATTAAATCCTTATTTCAAAAATATTTCCCCTCCACCCCCAAGCACCACCACATGCAGAGTCTCCCCACCTGGTTTTAGCGAGTGTATGAGTTTAATCTTGTTGTCTTTCACGGCTGGAATGACAATTGACTTAATGATTTGCACATTACAGGGCTTAACATCTTTGCAAATGAAAAATCTACTGTGCAATAACAAGCTAAAAGGAACTCGGGGCCTTTTTAGAAGAAATCATGCTGAATTATAATTTGGCTTAGTGTAATAATATTTCTTTGATCACTGTGGTAAGGAAAATCCCGAGTTTAGTAGAAAAAAATGTCTAAATGTGTTAGTAACTGCAAAACTGTCTTAGTATTAGGTTGAACCATATGAAATTACCCTACAAAATGGCAATTTCACTTTGTTCAACCTAAATTCTGCTGGTCTTATACTCCAAGTATAAACTCGTAAAGGCACATTTCGGAGTGTGAAGTGATGGAACTTTCAGTTTACCACACTGACCCATACATCTCAAATAAATTTAGCATATTGTTAAACAAAACTCTGATTAACAGGCAAAACTTAAGCTATCAAGTATTTAACAGCCTGATTTTTAAAATATACTATGGCAAACAAATAGTTAAACTAACTGGCTTATGTTCACGTGTTTTCCCATACAGCACCAAAGGTTTCTTTTAACTTTTTTACGTGTATTCAGGAGTCAAAAGTGTTATATGAGTCATAAAAATTAAAAACTTCTGTTCATCAAAAGACTTTACCAAAAAAGTGAAAAGACAAGCTACCGACTAGGAGAATATCTTTGGAAATCATATATCCAACAAGAATCTAATAATCAAAATATACATAAAACTTTGACAACTTAACAATAAAAAGACAAATAACCCAATCATAAAAAGGGCAAAGGGCTTGAATAGACATTTCACCAAAGAGGACATTCAAAGGGCCACCAAACACAGAAAAAGATGCGCAGCATCATTAGCCATCAGAAAGATGTAAATCAAAACTACAATCAAATATCATTTCACTCCCACTAGAATTGCTAAGATTAAAAAAAAAAAACTGAAAATAACAAATGTTGGCGAGGATGTGGGGAAACTGGAACCCTTACCTGTTGCTGGTAGGAATGCAAAATGGCACAGCTATTGTGGAAAACACTGTGGCAATTCCTAAAAAAAACTAAAAATAGAACTGCCATATGACCCAGCAATTTCACTCCTAGGTATATACCCAAAAGATTTGAAAGCAGAGACTCAAAAGGAGACTTGTACACCAATGTTCATTGCAGCACTATTCACAATAGCCAAAAGGTGGAGACAACCTAAATGCCCATCAACAGATGAATGGATAAATAAAATGTAAATGCATACAATGGAATACTACTCAGCCAGTAAGAGAATGAAGTCTTGATACATGCAACAGCATGGATGGAGCTTGACGACATTATGTTGAGCAAAATAAGCCAATCACAAAAGGACAAATATTATATGACCTTACTTATATAAAAAGACAAGAAAAGGCAAATGTATAGAGACCAAAGTTTATTAGTGGTTACCAGGGGCAGGAGGGAGAAGGAAAAGGGAGGTTAACAGTAATGGAAAAATAGCATTGATTAAGGGTGGGGTTGCACAGCTGATTATTGTAATCGCTGTCAATAAATTGCACACCTGTAAAAAGTTGAACTGGCATAAGTTGCGTGATATATTTATAACAAAAAAAAAAGAGTAGCTGCTGAGGCTGCTTATATACAACTAAACACGTTACGGGATTTGGTTCCTTGGTTTGGAGGTTTAGGGTCATGGTTTCATGGAACATCCCAGTTAATTGGCCTAATAGTGTGTTTAGTACTTCTGTTCTACCTCTTAGTTTATGTGTAGTGCCTGGGGTCTTAAAAGCTTGCAAGTGGTCATCCAAGGCACAATTTGTCTCTATTCGCCTAGAGCAACAGAAGAAGAAGGAGAATCAGGAATAGGAGAAGAATATGGAATGTGTGGCTAATTGCCTCCATGAACAATTGCCTCCTTTTCCATGAGACCAGAAGAACTGGATAGTGGCTGGCTACCATTACAAAACATTTTGAGCAAAGATTCCATAGAAGAATCCTGATCAAAAGGGGGAAAATGATGAAAAGGGGGAAAATGCAGAACAGAATTTCAAATTCTCATGGACTCTAGACTTTCTGGAGCCATGGAGGGTGGATGAACTCCTGCAATTATTGCCCTGAGATAATCTTTAAACCTTAAACCAAAAATATCCCCTGAAGTCATCTTAAAACAGAACGATAGTTAAGCTTCACTAGTAAAAAATGTCTACCTTGAGCATTATGCTCTTTTAAGAACTACTTATATGGGATCAAATTGACAATAGCAACTTGAAAGATTAGAAAGGAACCTTAGGGGGCTGTGAGTTTATGTTAATGGAGGAGGAACAACTCAGAAAAGAAGGGTGAAAATGGTTGCACAACTCAAAGAATGTAATCAATGTCACTAAATTGTACGTGTAGAAACTGTTGAATTGGTGTATGTTTTGCTGTGTATAGAGCCCTAGTGTTGCAGTGGTTAAGTGTTCGGCTGCTAATCAAAAGGTCAGCAGTTCAAACCCAACAGCCGCTCCTCGGAAACCCTATGGGGCAGTTCTACTCTGTCCTATAGGCTCACTATGAGTCGGAATCGACTCAGTGGCAATGGGTTTGTTTGGGTTTTGCTGTATATATTCTCAACAACAAAATAAATAAAAATTTAGGGAAAAAACAGTGTTATATGAGAAGGAGAAATTCCCAGATGACAAATTCCTTTTTTATATAAAGCTGAGACTAACTGCAGATAGTGGCTCCCTTTGATGAGCCATTTGAAAGGCAGGAAAGGCCACCTCAGACTCCTTGACATTCTGAAGTGGCAAGGACGTTAAAGGTCAGCCACCTCAGGCACCGACCAGTCACTTGGACAGAGAACATTCCCTTCTCCATGCCCCCAGCGTCATCATGACTCTGCTTAAATAAATACCTCTGGTCTTGGGGAACCCATCATCTCTTACAACTCATTTCTTCTTTAGTTAACTATTAGAAAGTATTTTCTCTCATTGAGCTAAGCTCCATCTCAATCCCCTGGTCCTACTTTTATACCTTGAAACCCAATAAAATAAACGTAATCCTTTTCCACGTGACAGACAAATATTTCAAGACAGGTGCCCCTTGAGATACTTTCTTATAGAACACGCTTTCCATTCATTGTCTTATTGTCTCTCTTCCAAAAATCAGGCATTCGCTTGTGGTATGACGAGCTGGGGGTAGAAAAGGGCTATCCCTTTTCTACTTCTGCAATCTACACCACTAGAAAGCATTAATGTTTTCTCTAATATGGTAAAATTGTAGTTCTTTCTAATGTATTTGC